ATTCTTGCCAGTCCAGCTGCTAACATTGAACAACTGTTGCTACATTTAACAAAAAGCAGGGGGGAACGAGAGTAATTTTCATTATTTTAGTTCTCTTCTGTAGTGAAACCTAACCACAGGAGAGCCAGAAATTCATTTGATAAACAGATACTGCAGAACAAGTTTTGTGAAAAGAATCACAGCAACAGAATGAAAATCATTCAAAACATCACTGTCATTAAAGGGCACAGGAACGCTTCCTCTGATAAAAGATCAAGTGCAATGGATAAAATACTACCATTAAAAAAAAAACAACAAATGTGTACTTAAAAAAAAAAAAAAAAGACAAGGAGTAATTGAAAATCATATCAAAACTGAGAATAATCCAGCGAATGTGACAGTGATACCCCTAACACAACTCTTATGAACACGCAAAAATACTTGCTGCTAGTGTTCTTATTTGTGTTAGAAAAGCCAAGCATTACTATTCATACTGCAATATGCAGTATGCAATACCTACTCAGCCTTCTGTTCTTTATTTGTGGTTCATTAAATTGTAACAAGCAAATATTATAATGTAGAATAACTAGTCTGAGTAATTCAAAATATATAACTTCTCCTAGGAAAATTATTTATATTCTTCTGCACTTCATTACTTTCCAGCTTGTTTTTTTTTCAGTGATGGTTATATGACCAAACTGAAAGATCAAAAGGAAATAACAGTTTTCCTACTTTCATAAGGACATGAGTATGTCAACCCAAGGATTTTTAACACAAGTAAGACACATCAAGGATAATTTTTTCTTTTTTAAGGAATAAGAATTTCTACTTCTTAATCAGAAGACTGTATTTGAACAAACTTAGAAACAGGAAGGACAGACAGCAATGAACCTCCACTAAAGAAATGAACAGAGATCTCTGTAGCCACTTTTCCTTGATGAAGCAAAATTGTTCTCCTCTACATGCTACTACATCAAATGGTGATCTTAACCATTCCATTCATTAAGATACCCTCCATATTTCTTGAAACTGTTCCAGAGTATGTTTGGAAACTTTCTTTCATGGTTATAGTGCAGTTATTGTTTAACCAAGCTTCGTTATTTAGCTTGGTAATTCAACGCCTCCTCTCCCCCTTTACTTTTAACACTTTCTTCTCATTATCTTATTTCCTCACTTTAAAAGAAGAAGCTAAGATGTTTTGACAAGCTCTCTGCTATTGCAGAGCTACCTTTTGTAAGAGATTTTCTTTTCAACAGGAAAAGACCAAAGTTAACAAGTCTATGAGAGTAAGGAACATTTCTGAAAAAAATAACCAGATCCGTATGTGATGCTTTTTATTCCGATAAAGGATAATGCAGGATAAGAATATGAAGCTTTGCTCTGACTGGGGCTAAAATAAGAGAAACATCTCCTGGGAAACGGTACAGGCCTGTCTTAACAAGCAACAGACAGAGTACCACAGATAAGAGAAGTTGCACGTCAGACATCTCAGCACAGGCTGCTGCTCTAAAAACCTTCTAGAAAACAGATATATTGGAGAAAACAAACAAAAAGCAAATGCTAGGAACATTATGCACTTCAGGGATAGTAAAGCACTACACTTTTAGTGTCCCAAAAATGTTCTACATTTTCATTGAGGTCAGCATTTGAGAACAAACAGTCTCAAAACTAAAATTCTCCACATACCAATACACTTAGATATGCTACAAGCCATCTAACTAGGCTGATGTCTCATTTCAATGCCCTTAATGAAGAAATAAATACATGTTCACATATTAAAAAAAAAGATATTGTTCCACTCTAAGAAGCTACTTTGTGTCATATGTATATGAATGGTTTAATCCTTACAAATGGATGCAAACGTTTATTTGACAGGTGTAAGGACCTGAAATTGCTCTTAATAATTCAGCATTTCTCTTAGAGGTTTGGACAGATCTGATATTTCACAACACTAGGCTTTATGCTATGTTCATTACAGGCTCCCAAGTTCAGCAATTCAGTCCTCCAATTAGCCAGATCTCTTACTTTATTTTTCTGACTTTTGTCACTCCAAGGTTGTTTGACGTATCGGCCCCCATTGAAGAAGCCTGAACCACAACCAGATTTCTCTCTTCTTCTGCTAGTCCAGGAAGCAAACCCTTAAAAGTTAAACAACAACATCTGCTTCTTCAGTCTTCGCAACTTCCCAGCATCATTGAGGATGGCTGCCACATGTCTGACATTAGAGACAAATGCAGCACTGGGTCTTCTAATGCTCTGGAGAAAGTCACACGCCATCATGGGCACAAGAGGAGCCCAAATGTTCACTAAACTAAGCATTGCAAATCAAGCTCCAAAGCCAGGACCTTTACCCTGCAATGCAGGGAACTCAGAGACAAAAAGCACAGGTATGGCATGGATCTAAATCCTTACTGAGAGAATATGCATTGTTTCTTACCAGGAATATTAGTAACAAACCACACATTGCAGGAGATTCTGGGATAAATCTCTACCAGTTCCTGTCAGTAGCAATAAAGACTCCCCACGATGCAGCCTTCATGAGCCAAAAGAACAGTGGTGGCTTCTAATGCTTTCTCCTTTCATTGCCTTTGTTTCAACATTAAAGCTGCATTTCAAGATGTGAAATAATGTGTTTTACAGTGAATAGCACAGTCTTAAATAATCTCAAAGTCTACTGACAGATCTTCAGTATCACTGAACTTACAGTTATACTGCTGCACAACCAAATTAATTAAAATCTGATTAACAAGATGCATTCTTTATATCTTAGCCATTTCTTATCAAAATGGTTGTATGTTAGCCAATGCATGTCAGTTACACAACACGCAGTATTTGCAGTAGATTAACATACTTAAAAAAATATCACTGTTGTTATACAAGAATTACTAAGTCCTCCAAGAACATTTCTTTCTTCTAAAACTTCTTCTCTGTATAGTTAGTGTATCACTTTTTTTGTTTCATCTTTAAGACAAAACATAGACATACATTTAGAGCTCTTGTACAGGCTCTTTGAACATATTCTTGTATACATTTCCTGAAATAAGTCTGACTACATTAAGTAGTTAAGTACATTAAATATAATCTTCAAGGGGTAAAGCCTTTGGTCAATTATTTTCAATATTCTCAACCTCTTTTAATGCAGACTCTTGATTTAAAAGTCTTTATTAACCTTGGGGTCTTAAATCAAGCAATCCAGAATTTGTTCAGTGAATTTGTCCAATTGTTCAGTGTAACAGGATTGTGAGAATGAAGTGAAAGAACTGCATAAATATAATGGAGAAAAGGAAAAAGGAACAGACACAGTTATCTTAGCAGTTCACAGACACCACACTAACACAAAGCTAAAATATTTTTTTAAGTAATTTGATTAAATGTCAAAATATACAACTGACAGCCAAAAGCTCTTTTCATCCATCAACCCCTTGGAACCCCTTGTATTCACTTGCACAGTTATGGTCAATTCTAGTAAGCTCAGAAAGTTCCTTCTAACATGGATTACTTCACTCTCATCTGTAAGAAATATTTTGCCCAGCCACTTAGCTTTCTGCCATCCTTACCATAGTTCCTTTCAGTATCCTCAATATTGTTTAAAGGACGTATTACTAAAAAATTCCACCACCTCTGCTCTTATATATAACAAGTATTCAGAGAATGGTTGTTTTAACTATGTCATCCTGTAGCAAATTTTGACAGATAAAAAATTCAAAACTCTAATTCAGCACATTTTACACTTCTTGTAAGAGTTCTGCATGGTTCCTGTGTGAAAACAGTCTCAACTTCATACTGCTTCCCAAGCCAGAAGGTCACGTCCAGTACAGCTACAGAAGGCTACATCAATGCATTTTTGATAGAAATTAGTCAGGAATTCATCAGCACTTATTTTTTGGTTTATGACATACCTCTGTTTAATGCATTAGTTCCATTTTTATTTTCAACATGCATGCAATTACTCCTGCTTGGCTGCTAGGAGTCCATCCATAAGAGCACAAGGTAATATTTTGGTAATCTCTCCTTCAAAGCAAATACATTTTTCACATTTTTCACTTACTGTGCTGCCTTGTTATTGAGAAGACTGAAGGGGACACAGGATTTATGAGGTCTATTTGTCGCACACAGGCAAGGAAAATCTTAGTGTTTGTTTGTTTGTTTGTTCTTAATGTATGTCACTCATACCACCACTAGCTACCATTCATTATTTTGCAATCACCTTCAAATTTACTTGGTTAAACTGAATTTTAAGAAGAAAAATTTTAAAAATCTCATGCAAAGTGAGCCATTCCAGTTATGCTTTGCAATCCTTCAAAACAACAAACCAGAAACAAACTACTGGACAAATAATGAAGAAACCATCATATAAATAATAAATAAACCAGACCTTGGGATGAAGCTTTTAGAGAATATTTGACAGCAGTTTGTTAATCAATAACAAAAATTTCTAACCAAAGCTATTTTACTTACAAATAAAAATTATCACCTTATCATATTAATTGAGAAATAAGTATTCTCCACATTTCTGCAGTTTCCCAAGTGAACAGTTTTCAAGCAAATCTTAACAAATGTGATGCAACATGCCAATTATGTTAAACGTTAAGCCCAATCAGAAATAAAATAAACCCTATAAGCACCTATGTATAAATCCCATCAGAAAACAACTCATCACAACATCCAAGTTCTAGCTAACATCAACCAGTATCACCATGCTGCTTCAATAAAAGATAATCCAACATTACATCATAATAGTTTTAGGTTAGCTAGCATCTAACCCACAGGGATGGTTAAAATAGCTTAATTTAGTATAACAAGTTCAACTCAAAAAGCCCAGCTTCTAGGATAACTGAGTTAATTTTGTTCTTTACATGAAACATGCTTATCTGAAGGCATTCCTCATATTTTCTGTGGAAACAACACAAGATAATTGGAAAAGTATCTGCAATGCCTCTGTCATGATCATATGTAACAATTCTTAAGAGAACCATAGGCTGATTTGGCACTGTAATTCAGGAAAGAAAACATTCACTTACCGCAGTGCGACTGGAAAACCTGTGGCTTGACTACCTGATTGCAGATATTGCACACTACAAGATAGAAATCATCATGAGCTGGATAATGGCCAAATAAGTGCATATCTGTGGGAAAGTTAAAAATATATACAAGAATTAGAAATTATGCTTTAAGTAAATGTTAAGAAAAAAAAAATTAAATACCGTAGGGCCCTATTGTTATATTAACTTATAGAAAGCAAATTTATACACTGCTCCGTAACAGTTTATTACTGTGTTGAAGAGATTTTTTCCCTCTTCAGGGTTTCAAGGTCCTATACTACAGCTGTGGTCACATTCCCTGAGTCTGAGTCAGAAGGCAGGCAGCAGTGCTCACTGCCAAGAAGAGCACTAAACATTTCTGTGCTGGTCAGCTGTAGAAACAGCAGAAGAGTATGCCTTTTCAGATCTCTTCAAAAAGATTCTTTCAGAAAACACAGTGCATGAATTATATGCTCCGTGTTACAATATTCCAAGCTCAATTACAGATTGCTGCAGAAAGTCCCCTGCTTAAAAGCTTGTTATAGCAGCCAAGGACAGGGATGCTACAAGAGCTTCACACAGTCAGGAATGCCATCCTTGTTCTGAACCAGATGTAATGACATGAAATTCCTTGTTCTCTGAAAATCTCCCTCCTTGTTCAATGCTCTCCTGTTTGAAAAAACTGGGAAGAGACAACGATGGTTAATGAGGTATTTCCCAGTGACAGCACAAGGAATTGCATGGAATCTGATGATGGGACAGTCACACGATGATGGGCACTTGTCCTTCTCAGCTGAAACACAGAAGGCAACACACACATTCTTAAGCCATTACAAGCAGAGAGAAAATGGGCTTAAATTACTACTAAAGGCCTCAGAGCTCTAACAGCAGTGAGTTAACACACTTCACTCTGCATTGCTATAACTTGAGAACAAGCACGTGTGCTCAGCCACTAAATTTCAGCTTTAAAGGAAGTAACTTCAGCTATATTTGGTCCCACGACTGCGCCATCGGAGCCAACGCTGCCAAGAAAGGCATTACTGCATTAGGAACTGTGTCTCATTTGAGCCACACAGGCCAGTAACACCTTTACTTGCTGTCATTTAGTTAAATACGTCACATCTTTAAGTAAAGACATCACAAAATGGCATTCCAGTGTTATTCAGCAGCATCCCAAATCCATTACAAAACCTGCAAAAATGCCTTCTGACTCAGACTGAAGCAACAGCCTGGCACCTCTTAGGCAGGCACTTCTTCAACTGGAAGAAAAACACAAAGATCCTCAGTGATAATAAACATGCACAACAGGAGCAGTGATTGATAACCATTACTTCTCCAGGAGGTTTTTGATGTGTCACTTTTATTTAATGATAGCTTTTTCTTTCAAAAAGTGACTAAGCAAGTGCATTATTTCATTAGTTCTTACCAAAAGCAAACATTCTGTCCTTAGCAATATGTTTTAAGTGATCTGGGCTGGCCTGCACTGCTGTGCAAGTCGCTTATGATGTTAGCAGAAACTTCAGGCTGTGAGAACTCCCCAGGAGCAGGGCAGCCCCTCCTGCTATCCAGGCAGCCCCACAGGCAGCTCCAAGCAGGCTTCCTTAGGCACACACCAGTACTACCAACTCACGGATATTGCCCTTTACCCCTGAAAATCAAGCCCTGTTTCTGTTACTGCTCTTACCAGGCTGTCACCTGGCTGAATGACTCACTGTCACCTTGCAGCACTAGGCCTGGACCACCTGAAGCTTTCAATGCACCACAAGCAGGTGACTACAAATAACACATTTGAGGTAAATTTGAAGGAGTGCAGTAATTAAGTATAACTACTTTGATCTGTTTGCTTTATTCAATTCTTTACATGTGATAAGTTAGTGATCTTAAAGATCACTTTACATAGGCAGTTCTTACATAGTTAAAACCTCATTTCCAATCAGAACATACAGATAACAACTAACAGATTTAAAAACACCAATGAAAACAGTATTTCTTCAAGGTATAATTTGATACAGACTCCCAGCTCAAACCCAACCATTTCATTATGTTTATAGAATATTTCTTTCTTCTTCTTGCTTGAATAGTGCAATGACAGTCTTGCTATGAAAAGACACAGAACTTGCCTTTTGCAAATACAAAAGATACTTAAAAGTTGCAACCTTTTCAATGTTAAATTCTTCAAGTTGCACTTAGCTTGCACCTTTCTGTATACAAGGTTTCATTATACCTAGCTCCAAAGCATAGAGACTGACTGCAGGGAATAACTTACAGAGACACGTACAGTATTAATATAGCGGAAATCTATCCAAGGACACAGAATAAGAAATCAGGTTAGTTCAAAGGATCACTAAATTGTCTGCTTTTTCTCACCAGACATGGTCAAGTAGACAGAAGGGTAAGTTCTAGTACCTGCAAGCTCTCTGCAAACAGCAAACACTCAGGTTCTTGTGATACTGAGGTGGCAGAAGCTGAGGTGCAAAGATACTACACAGACATGCAAGAGGGTGTACCAAAACAGCTGTGAGGGATACAGCATCAGAGTACTGCACAGATGCAGTGTAAGTGACATCCTGAAAGGCAGCACCTTGGAAGTTTTTTTTGAGTTTGCAGATTCATAGCAATAGTCTGGTGGAAGTGCAAACCTCCACTGTAAGTATCAGCCTTCTGTTACCAAGTTGATTATTAGTTACCTGTCAAAAGCCACTTAAACTAATTGAAGGACTGAAGAACTACAAGTCGAAAATCAAAAGCAGGAATCAGACTACACAAATAAATTGCTGTTCTTTAATCATGGTACCTAAAAAACTTTTATAAACAATGTCATTCAGATTGGATTCCTTAAAAACTCATTATTCAGGAATTTATAAGAGCAAAAATTAATCAAGTCTAATCTGGTTCAACTAACCTTAGTAGTTCCATTGATGTTAACACCGGCAGAAATCAATCTTCCTGATTAGACTCATGATTTGTAAGCACACACACATTATATAAAAATTATTTTTTAATTAAAAGCTGTACCAAGCATTAGTATTGTCTCGCCAGAAATTCAAATCAGAGATTTACTTTATTAGGCATGACAGTATTACAAATGCAATCTGTATCGCAGAGAATTTAGAACCAAGAAACAAGGACAGTACAAACTGAAAAAGGAAGCAGGCAATATAAGTATATATATATATATATATATATATATATATATACGTACACATACACACACACACATTCTTATACGTTTTCTTGTTTTTAATAAGAACAGTTAGTTGTTGATATGTCCTACCCAAAGCAACCAGAACAAAAGCGTTTGTTTGGACATTACTGTTCCTAGATCTGATTACAGCCATTTGACAATCTAGATCTTTTTATCTGCAGCAAAAAAAACAGTGTCTCCAAACAAAGACTTATCTTCTAGAGGCAACCACTGCACCTCTCTGGCTGTTAGCTGGAAGCACTGGCAATAAGCTCCCCAGGAAAGGTTAGCTTCAGAAAAGAAAACAGCTCTTTCCAAAGTTAGCTCAGGAAGGACCTCTTCAAGAAAAAGGAAAGAATATAGAAGACAATAGAAAACTTGTAAATAAGATATGCAACTATCAAGTAATCACAGAATGGCTTTGGTTTGAAGGGAACTTAAAGATCATCTCATTCTCAAGTAATACTAAACTCTGAAAGAACAGGGAGGGACCAAAGAGAGAAGGACTGTGATCAGCATTTATCTTCTACCACTACCGGGGTCCTCTAAAGGGCAAAGAGAGACTGAAGCTGGCATCACTCAACCCACATTGGCACAGTGATCTCTATCATAGCCTGTGACCCTCTTGTTTGCTAACTGCTAATACAGATAACTACAAGTTCAAGGCAGAAGAGCTGCACACCACTTCCATAAAGTAAATGCTCATGGGCCCTATCGTATTCTTTCATTTATCTGAAGATGCTTTCAGCAGACTGAAAGCAGATTTTGATGGCAAGAAAGGACAGGCAACTAATTTTATAGCCCTGCCAGACTTTGTGGAAGTGCACTCTTAAGTGCCCTTCTCCTTGCTGCATCAAATCGTTGGACCCCCATAATGAAATCTTTTGGCCTGCCATGTCTGTTAATACCAAGCATGGACAAAAGTCTTGCTTGCAAGTGAGCTACCTGACTAACAGGATGTGGAGCATCCATATCATGTGTAAAATATGCAAGGTACGTGGAATCACAGACAGTGAATGCTGACTTTAAGAAACCTGGCATTCTCAGATTAAAATCTTAAACCTACTATTACTGTGTAGATGCTTTGCTGTAGTGCTTGGGAAACAAATACATTCTGCTTGTAGCTTTCATATTACTAGCATTTGCAATTATAAAGACAGTTGTAGCCACATGACACAGTTTTGTAAGACTTGGTAAAATGTGCATTAAAAAGCACAAAGGCCACAGAAAGGAAAGAAAATACTGCTACAAGCTGTAGCAGGAACACAAAAATGCAGGTGTCAGATACAACTTTTAACTTCTACACAAAATAATTATTTTTAGCAACAATCAAAGCCAGATGAGTTATATGAAGTTCCGTCTCTGTTATTATATAATTCATAACCATTTACATCCAGCCATATCGTAAAAGACAAGCTAGAAATAATCTAAAACATTCTTCTCCCGTTGAATTAAGTTTATTGTGAACAGCAAGACCTCACAATAATGTGTGGGAAATTAAACTTTTAATGATGCTCTTTTGCTACAAATTGTACACACTTTAAACATCCTCTTATATATCAGTTGCTTTGCTAAGTAATCACACAAGGCCTACTTAAAAAATATTAGTGATGCATATGTGGAAGAAGGGTGGGAAAGAGGAGAGAAGGAACACTGCAAAGTGGTTTAAAACTAACAAAAGAACAGCTTTTAAAAAAAAAGCAATGAAAAGAAAATCCAAACCCATGCAGAGATACAGACTTTCAAAAGTCTGCGTCTATAAATTTGCTCAATATTTCCCTCTTGCTCTAGAGCTGAAAAATCTCTGCAGCATTCAGAAATGGAGGGGAACAAAAAAATCTTACAGTGCATTACATTACTTTTACATTTGAGATTACTTAAGCTAAGTAATTTGAATGGTGAAAAGAAACTTAAAACTGAA